CAAGTTCAAGCTAAACATGAAAAGAAAGGAGATGGCCATTATGAATATCGTGAATTTGTTCGACATGTTACTGTCCCGAATAATGTTGAAGCTGATCAATTGAAATGTAAAATGGATAAAGATGGTGTACTTCGATTCGAAGCTCCATTGAAACAAATCGAACAGAAAGAATCTCGTGAACGTAATATTCCGATTGAAATGGTAAATCGAAACAAACCGGCTGTTGAACAACAGAAAGAAGCTAAAAAATGAAGGAATTCTCCAGTAACATGGCAAGAATTGGCTTGAACATTTTTTTTCTCTGTCATTATCTCATAAAAATTTTTGATAATCTCGTAGATTATTATATGATCTTTATAATGGCTTTGTGATATACATTCTGTATTCATCAAATATCTTTTTTTCACTCAGATTTTGATTTATAATCAATAAAAAGATCTTTTTTTAAAAAAAAAGAAATCAATAACCTTTGTTGATAATTTGTTTTTTTTTTGTTGTGTCAATTTTAACCTTGATTTTTATTTTTATTCACTCCAAGCGACAAACAACAAACAAACAAACAAACAAAAATCGAACCATATCTATAGTCTTGTTTCTAAAAAAAACATTCGAATATCATTCGCTGAAAAAAAACAACAGAAAAACAAAATTGTTTTTCTCAAATGGATGGATTGGTTGTTGAGAATTTTGTTGGTCGATTTTGTTTTTGTTTTGTTTTGTTTTTTGTTTATCAATGTTTTTCACAGAAATTTTTGTTTTTGTTGTTGTTTTTGACGATGATAATTTGATATGATGATATTAATAGTAACAAACAAACAAAATATGTTTGTTTGTGACTTTTGTGAAAATTCAATTTGAAACCAAAAAAAAAAGATACATTTTGTAGCAAACAACAATTTTTTTTTTGTTTTCATTGATGAGTGGGAAGAAATGCATAGGTAAAGTGTAAATGATTAAAACCGAAAAATTGTTTATTTTTATTCAGATTCTTTTGAAGATTGTATTTTTTTGAAGAAGAATAAGAAGAAATTAATAAAAAATAATTTTTGTGATAATTTATGATTTGTACCTGTTTATTATTATTATTTTTTTGCGAAATAAAGGTGTTTTGTTTGATAAAAGTATCATATTTTTGCAATGGACAATTCTAGAAAATGCGCGAAACAAGTTCGAATTGACTAGAAACTGAAACCGAAATTGATAGAAAATTCGAGATTATTCTCCATTCATAGCAAATAATGTTTGAATGGTCTGGAAAATACTGGAATTCGATATGCGCATGCGCTTTGCTTTTCATAGTCTCGCGATGACAGTGTTTGAACAGTATTTAAACGCGATCAATTTGTCCAACAAGGCATCAGTTTCAGAAAAGCAAAATAAAACGATTTTTGAATACTACGAATTTCAACAAAAAAACGCTATTATCTCAACTCGCTTCTTCCAAATTATTTTCATCGCGAATTACCGTACGAATCGATATTTTTGTTGTTGTGTTTATTTGTCAACTGCCTGATTGTATAATTCTTGAAAATGTTGTCAATTCCACGAAGTTCTTATTGGGATGATGATGACATGTTTGCCATCAATCCATATTGTTCTTATCATCGTCCTCGATCATCATGGTTAATGCCAGCATTGGATCGTTTTCTTACATTGGACGAAATGGTTGCTCAACCATCATCGATGATCAAAAATGGTAAATTTCAAGCTGATCTTGATCTACGTAATTTCGATCCAAATGGTATCAATGTAAAATTAGATGGTAATACATTGCAAGTGAATGCCAAACAAGAAAAGAAAGGCGAAGGACATTATGAATTCCGTGAATTTAAACGTATGATTTCCATTCCGAAAGAAGTGGCCGAAGATCAAATGAAATGTAAACTTGATAAAGATGGTCGTCTTCGAATCGAAGCTCCGTTGAAAAAACAAATGGAAATCGATGAAAAAGGACGTAACATACCGATCGAAATGGTCAACCAAAAGAAATAAATTTTGATATAAA